ACGTTTCATAAACAATTCTTCGACTGATTGTTTGAATTAAACTGCTTTTACTATTCTTCTATTAAGATTTTTATTAACTTTCTTTTGTCATTCTGTCACCTCATCTATGAATGTGTAATTTCAGTTTACTGAACGTCGACGCTACCGGTTCAGTGTGGTTAGCGCACACTGACACAGTGTTACTAATGTTTACTGAAGCATTGGATTACGCCGCTACAAAAAAAATATATTTTAATAAAGTTGATGTCTCAATGTTTCAGTTAATACAAATGTCAGTGTAATCAGTGCCTCAGTGAATCCTGTGTCAGTGATTCACTGTTCAGTGTTTACACCAGTACTGCACATCTTATTGTTCATTATAGTTTTTATTTGAATATATTTTAATTAATTGCATTTTTGTTTTATAAAATAGACTCTTGAACCAGATCAAATATCTTTACTTTTGAACAATAAAGGTTGTGAGCATGCTCTTTATTTATCTTATATATGCGAAAATCTTCGTCAATTTGGTGATTACTCACTTGTGACAAATCGTCTAACAACATATCCACAAACAATAGAAGAATTACTCAATGTATTGTTGAATGAAGTTTATGCAATTATTGATAATCAATCACTTGTTGATGCTGTCTGTCTAAATTTCAGATTATAATTTAAATAAATAATACATGATTCTTTTTTTCTTAGTTTTTTAAATTATTAATTATATCAACTGTTGGTATACTTGAATCCGATATAGTTAATTTGCTTCAACATTTTATGAACAAAACGACGGATGAAAATAATCAAATTCTTATAAATCGAATGATATGGTCAACATTACAACGACACATGAAAACGTTTCTTGATACAACATGGATGGATGGACATCAACTTGTTATTTATCGTCATGCGTCAATTGAACAGGTTTAGATTTATATCATATATATTTATATATGATATTTTTTATTTATTTATTAGATATTACGAAAACGTTGTTTGAAAGAAAATGCAGATGAAATACGTTCTTTAAATAGTTTTATGGCTCAATTTTATCATAAATATTCAACAATTAAGGATTTTTCTTTTCGTCGTATTCCATATCATTATGAACAAGCTCATATGTATAAAGAACTTGTTGCATATTTACGTTCGTCAGAATCACGTGGAGTTAGTCGAACAGATCGACAAGCATATCTACGCGTAGGAATATTTATTTTATGAAACACTTAAATTATAAAAATATTACAATCAATATATTCTTTTCGTTATATTTAGAGACGTCGTTGTACAAAGCAACTTTCGTTTACTGATGATCCTTTTAATCAACGTGCTTACTTATGTCATATATGTGCCATGCAATTTAAGTTAGGTCCATATACAATGGCAAAAAGTTCATGTTTAATTTGTACTAATATGATTATGGGAGGAAATATGACACAAACAAATGCTTTGAGACGTGAAGCACGTGTTTGTCAAAAGCATGGTTCGATTGGTTATCCACATTCAATTCAATGTATTATTTGTAAAAGTCTTCGACCAAAAGTAACTGGAACAGCACCATCAGTTACTGATCCTGTACCGTTAAATATCTGTTTTGATTGTTGGTTTGCAGGTGGAGCAATACCACGTTGTTGTGGATTTGAACTTGAATAAATGAAAGTTGATGTTTTTTTTTATTATTTGAAATAAATTTCTTTTTTTAATACAATTCTGATAATACTGATTTTTATGAACAGTTTCACCAACGAAGATTAGGCTTATGAGACTACTGAGACGATAATGATAGAAATAAACACTATTGAAGATAAAAAAAATGATATAGTTGTTTTGAAAAATCGTCTGCACTCCTTTATAAAATTAAAATTTTTGTTACTTGTCCGTCATTTTGACTGGCAGACGTCTTTAACTGATCAAATCTGATGTTTTAATGAATTCTATACTGCGTACCAAAGAACTGGGCTAACCAAGATTTATCGATATGTTATGTTGTGAGAAAGATTAGGTTATAGAATAGTTTTATAGAAAATACTCCATTAATTTTTTTATATATTTATTCACTCTGAATACAAAATTAAGATGTTTCAGTTCTCTATCGAATATTGTGTCAACATATTAGAAAAGATAATTCCTTGTCTTTCGTTATATAAGAATATGATTCATGTTGCATACCACTAATGAACTCTCATGACGAATATTACTTGAACGATTGGTCGATCGTACTCTGTGTGAGCAATAAACAGATCCAACCTTCCAAGACGAATATCTCTATTGAGACAAATCCATCGGACAATGAGGCATCTTTTGCTATCAACAGTCAGTAGCTACTAATGATTCAAAACACTCAGCATCTTTGTGCTGTTTCACAAATTTTATGTGAACACGTTGTGCTTGTAATTCATCATCAGATTAACTACTCAAGATTGCCGAAAAAGGTTCTAAAAAATAACAAAAAGCGTCATTCATTTCACATCTGATTAAAGCAGCGGCTATGAGTTTGCACATTGTTTTTGTACCTGTCTGGAGACAGTTCTCAGTAATGATCATCTGTCATAAAATTACAAAATGCAACTCTATCGATGGTCTCTTCTGAACGAAAAAAATCTTGTTATGGTCAATAGAATGAGTCATGGTTATGAAGAAATCCGACGTTACAAAATGAACTACAGGTGTTGCTCATACAAGGGAGAAACAGCGGACTTTTGTACTTCAAGTTACTTTTCGGTACTTTCAAGTACTTTTTCGTTACTTTCAAGTACTTTAAACTACTTTTCAAGTACTTTAGAGGAACTTTCAAGTACTTTTCGCGTACTTGGAGCTACTTCAAGTAACTTTGACATACTTCAAGTAACTTTAACGTACNACGTGAAGAACCTATCGGTGAACTAAAGCAAAAATAATATATATAATTTTCTACTATGAGTGCATAATATAAGTGTTAAAAAGAAATTTCACGAATTAGATGGTTCTTTTAACCCCGTCATAGTTCATATTTAATATAAAACACTTATTTTCAAACATCGTTTGAAGTATAGTTTATTCAACAAGGAATCTTTGAAAGTTATTCTTTTAAATATTTTTTATCAATAGTTAAAAAAACAAATTTAATTAATGAAAATATCTTAGAGACGAATGAGATCTAGGAAGCTGTGAGTCAATGTTTTTGTAGACCCATTCAAGTTCACACTGAAGTTTTTTTTCCATCAATATCTTTCAGTCTCTACGCACATGAACAAGTGAAGGATCAAAGTTTTAGACATTTATTGGCTAATCTTAAAAAAAAGCTAACATATAGTTATTACTTATTGTTCATTTTCCTATATAGGGCGCTGCGGATGCACAAAAACATGGACTCGGATCTGGGTTTGGAAGGATCTACCACACCCTGATGCACTCAAACATATTCCATTGATATTTACAAGGGAAGATATTCTAACTGTCCAATCGGTTTTCGCTTGAGACTATGACAATTTGATCGATTATTCATTAGAGCCTGCGGTTTCCAATAACATGAAACCAAAAATTTTTCACTGATAATTAGAGGTCATCTAGGGTGTAGGGGAAGAGATTATAAACAATCACACCCACACACTTTTCCTATTATTACTCTTCTTGTTGCGTCTTCTGAAGAAATTGGTTGTTCAATACAACGATAAATATAAAGCACTTCGAAAAATGAAAGAGAAATTTCTAAGAAATGCTCTCATTGGTTATTTGATGCACTATTAATAAATCATCGGTTCCAAAGACGTTTTTTAGGAAGCGAAATCGGAACCAATGTTTCTTGTTCTTACGAACCAAAACCGCGATTTTTATTTCGATTCCAAATATTTCTGGAAATCACATGGCTCTTTGCTCATAGATAGGTTTGATAGTCATTCGAAAGCTTGAGCTCGAAAAAAACGTATCCGTGTGAAGGCATGAACTTGATATAGAAACTTCCTTCTTTAAAAACACAACATAAAACAGATGGTTCTTTAAAATGTATATATACCTCAGCATGAACACATTCATTCTGGCTCAAAAGTTAGATCATTTATGAACAAGATTTCGGATCGAAAGTCAATTATCCAGATTCTTCGCGATTCTATGTTCATAGAATGAACATTCGAGTAAAACGCCTACAACTCACTGTTCATCATGATCCATTGGCTGGACAGTCGGTAACATTTCCTCATTAACTGTAAACTAATTTTCAAAGGGTGAGAATATTTTTGATCACCATTTTTTTTCGAGCTGTGATTTTCCATGATTTCTGATCTAGCACTTGTAAACGATAAATACGAGGGTGTGTTTGTGAGTCTGCGTGAAGAAGATGTGAATAAAGTCCTCTCCGCCAGAACAAAACACCCATGGTATCTTATAGCGTCTCCGCACATCGTTACTTTTCGAATGGCCTTCTATTGAAGTCAAATATTAACCAATTATTAATTAATGTTTTCTGGGTATTTTTCATGGAAAAACTGCTATTTTCGTAAAAAAGAAGATTATGTATACTAGAATATGGAGTAATTTCTCGGAAAAACACTAGTTTTTGACAAATTATTAAATAATATTTACGACAAATTAGGTATTTTTGTAATAAATTAAATGAATAACCTTGTAATGAACCAGACGATCTTTTGTTTAGACATAACCTTCTAATGAAAGTGGTCCTCTAACATGGAGTGATCTTCTTTTCTGGGAGGAGGGTTTACCAACATCCACCCACACCCACATCCACCTCGCTCTATCCTACACTCACACCCTCGCATTTTTTGTTTACAAGCGCTCGATCAGAAATCACAAAAAAATCACAACTCGAAAAAAAATGGTGATCAAAAGTATTTTTTTTTCCCCATTTTCAAATCATCATGTTTATTATCTTTCTATAGAAGAACTGAAAGAATCTATTTCATGAATATATTCCGATAGATTTCATCAATTTAGCAAAATAAATTTTTTTTTGTTTTTTTCCTTTAGAAAAAACTTCAATAACATCATGTAGTTTTTCTCATAAAAAATTATCCATTTAAAATAACTTACGTATCATTAAGCATTCGTTCTCGTCTATCTCTATGAGCATCATAACGTAATTTTAAATCATGAAATGTTTTAACATAAGTTATATTTTCAAAATCGGAATAGAAATTTTCAACAAAACAATTTATTAATATTTTCATATCTTCCTAAAATGAAAATAAAAAGACAAAAATAAATAAAACAATAATAATAATAATAATAATAATCCTTACATGTCGAATAAATTCGAACAATTCAATTAAAGCTGAATTTAATAAATTATATCGTCGTTTATTAGCCTTAAATGCATCAACAATAGGTGCAAATAAATTATTGCGAACAATTGTTAAGTTGTACTGTTCATCTTTAAGGCCAACAATTTTCCGCAAAAATCGAAGTGCACCTAAATATTAGATAATTTTATAATCACAAAAACAAAAACTTTTTCAAAAGAAATTTTAACTTACTAAGTTGAAGAAATTGATGTTTGGATTTTAATAATACAAGTACACGTCGTAATAAATCTTTTTTATTAAGAAAATTTCTCATATGATATGTATGGTGTTCAACACAAAATGTAACAAAATCAAGAATTAAATTTTGTAATTGAGCTATATGAAAATCATCTCGAGCTAATTTAAGATCAGATGTATTAGCCATAAGTGGAGCAAGTAATACAGACATTGAACGAAAATAAAAAAATGATAAAAATTCAGTTTTTTTCACTTATTGATACAGCCATCATATTTTCAGGATCAATTAATAATTTAAGATAATTCATTAGATTAAGTGCACCACTTAATTCTAAACAAAAATAAAAATAAGAAATTATTTAAATATGAAAGATATTTTTCGTTTTCTTTTAAATTCTAATTACCTGGATCAGGATCGCTTTGAATTTCACTTATAACAAGATTGAGAAGTAATTCATCATCGTCTTGTGTTGATTGTGTTTCTTGTAACATATATTCACGAACTGTTGATGGATTACATTCAACTATGGATGCGAATACATCAAGTGCGGCTTGTTTTGTTGTTGTGTCATCAAGACTCTAATTTATTTTTTATTTTTAGATACAAATTTATTCGATTTAGATATTTCGATTATTGACTTACAAGCATTACTTGTATAACATTCAATATACCATGAGTAGCAAGCGCCTAAAAGTAAATAATCATAATCGATTGTAATTAAAAAATTCGAAACGCAAAACAGAAAAACTTCCATGTAGAGATAAATAAAGCACATCGAATCGGTTTGTTTGAAAAGATCTTTCTCAGACATAGTCAAGAATGAATTTTATTAAAGTTTTAGTAGATATGAGTAGGACCAGTTGTTTTTGGCGCCGATTCTGGTCAAAAACAAATTTGACTCCGGTTTTGATCAGAAAAGAACTTAGTCGCGATACCGATCAGGGTCAGAAAAAGATTTAGTCTCGGTGGCAGTTCTATCGAGACGGGAATTATCTTGTCTACGTCTCTATTGAGAAAATATGAGTCGCGACTAGAGATGTATGAGACCAAGTCTTTTTGATCTTGGTTCTGGTAACTTTTTTCTATTAGTCCCGGTCATAATACCAATAAATCTCATTTAGTCTCGATCCTGGTGATTATAGTCGTTTGGGTTCCAATCTAGAGAAAACTATTCTGGAATTAATTGATATCACATCTAGAAATATTCTTCAATATTCATTTATTGATTTATTTAGTCGACGACTAGCACTTTTAGGAGTCACATCTCTCTGAAATTATGTTTTGATTGATGATTTGTAAGATAATTCATCCAAAACCATAGAACATTATTCTATGATATTTAGCTCCGATTGAATTAATTTCTTTTTGCACTTCTAATTCCAGGTCAGGGTGACCATGACTGGAACTTAAAGTAGTACTGCATAACTCTAGTCGTGACAACATGACATTTGACACAGATTTTACACAACTTTAAAAGATATCACTTCCAATGAAATAGTGTTGATCCTGGTTCCAATCTTGCCCGTATCTAATTTCTAGGCTTATAATTCGATAGCATATACCATCCATTTCAATTGAGTATGATCATAACCACTATGGAGCCGAATCAACTTTGATTTCCTGTATTCGTCGTTGAAATCAATATCAATATTGATATAAAGAAATATGTTCTGAAAACTTTTTGTAGTAATGTTTTATGCAAATTTTCTCTTCCAGAAAGCCGATTCAAAATCTTGAAAAGGTGAACATATCATATATAACTCAACAATTTTGAATTTCATGAAAGCAAACTCGATCTTCACAAGATTGTTAACCTCGTGGTTCCGATATTGAATAAAACATTAATTAGCACATATATGACTGAAAACACTATTCTTATCAATTGTTTTCTTCCATATATTATGATTAGAAAGATTGAATCACATTTAGTTATAAATAATATCTTATTCTTATATATAATTTTTCTTTGAAGACTCATTAAAAAATATTATTAATTGAATAATTTCTTTTTTAAACATTATGCCATTCTATGAAATTCAATCAGTGCCGATACTATTTATTAAAACCAAGAAAAATATTCGATTGAATTAAAAATGTGAAAGAATTTGAAAATGTTTTTTTTTATTACGAATGCTATATTATTAATACTCGATAATTGGTAATAATTATTATTATATTTTCTTTAATTATTTTGACGACATTAGAGTTATTCTTGCTAGAAAAATATAAAGTAGTTTCGTAGTATGTTATTACTAATTCATTTTCTTACTTTTCAGATTTTATTACTTCTTACTGTAATAAAATAATAACAAAATATTAATTATGATATGACATAGATACGAACAGCAGAAAAGATATTAATACATAAATACTATTGTGTAGATCTAATCAGAAACGCTGTTTTACAGAAAAACAATATAATAGAGAATTCTATTCACTTGTAGCTGTTTGTTCTTTGTTTATATTGTCTTTTTTTTTTCAATGGAAACAATGATATTCTCTATCATCTACTAGTCTTTGTCATAGAGTCAAATACAGAGTGTCCCAAAGTCACTATACAAAATAATATTCGGAATATCTCTCTTACGGTTCTATCCGATGAACTGGTGATAGAGGACACATCCAGACCCAATCCACAATACAATCCTTTTTATTATCGCAGGTTGAGAACACGTTTTTCTAAATTCAGACCTACTTCAACTATCTAGTTCATTTTCTTTATAAACATTCATTTGACATTTCAGAGTGATTTGTACATTTCTTTATTGTGTATTGAACCGCTGAAAGTTCTACTTTGTAGGAATATTTATAAACTTTGAATTAGAACTTTTGAGAGCAAGGATTTTTTGTATCCTGACTGAGAGAAAATTTTTAATCCTGATCCAACTATATGCTTACTCGAGGGAACATAGAAAAGACTTTGGTCTTTTAGCTTTTTGACATCTCATGAAATCCTAACGTCTCATGAAGTCAGCTGTTTAGCTTTTGTGTTTATTCTTATCCTATCATTCTTCGCAGGGTAGGTTAAGATGACCCTAAAAATATGCACTTTGAATAAATGGGTAGAAATTTGAACCTGTCTTCTATCACCAATACAAAAAAAAAATCAATTCATCAGATAGAAGCCTATTAGAGATATTTAAATCTATTTTTTTCTACAGTAACTTTCGCAACACCTTGCAATAACCTAATTAATAAATAAAAGTATTTATACTATTATCTTAATTATGTATTACTTTTTAATGGTTATTAATTATTAACAGTCGTGATAACGTAGCATTTTTATTCTTCTATTGTTAGGCTTCAATTATGTGTCTCTATGAATTGCACTGTTTCGATATGGATCATTGCTTTAATAATCCACGTACAGTCAGAGTAAACAAGTTTTTTTATTTTTGTTGACACATTATTACGGACAAAGGTCTCATATATGATTAATCAATAGAGAGTGTTACAATTGAATTGTGACTTATGAATGTTAGTTTTTGTTATTATACATATAATGAAGGCAAATCTACGACGAAGAATTTTTTCTATTAAAATAAAACTTACTTGAAAAAAATTATCTCTATTTTGTTGTTGTAATGTTTGTGAAAAAACACAAAATTCTTTAAGAAATAACATAAGATCTTTACGTTTTTCATCTGATAAATTTTCATCTTTTAATGTTGAAAATAATTGACTAAGAAATTTTGGATCTTCCTGAAGAAAAAAAAAATAAAAATATTTTATAAATAAAGAAAGAAGAAAAAAGAAATGAAATTCATTTATCTTACATATAATAATGTAACAATATCAACTTTATTAAAAAATAAAAAACTATTCATTGTTGATAATAAATTTTCTTCAAATAAACTTGGTGCTGGTAAAATAGCATCTTGTATATATTGTACTCTATATGTTTGATGAATTTTTGCTAATAATTCTTGATTAATAATTGGTATAACTTCTCGAAATGTTGCTTTTGTATCTAAAAATTCTCTATGATTACGTTTTTCATTATAATTTAATTGTGAATCATATTCTAAACAACCAATAACATCTATGATAAATTCTTCACTAAATAATATTTCAAATAAACTTGATTTATTTAAATAAAATATTGAACGTATAATTTCATATATTTGATGTAAAGATTCAATATTTTCTAAATCTTCACATATATGAAATAGATCGATTAATTTTCGAATATAATTTCCAGATTCAATTGCACGTGCTAATAAATCACGACGTGATGCATCACGAACTTTATCTGGACTAAATAAATCACATATATCACGTAAATGAGATAAATCAACTGGTGGTAATGTTATTGTTGATGGTAAATAATTATCATTTGATTCACCAGCACATTCATCATCGGATTCATAGATTGTTGAACCATTTGATTCAGATGTTAAATTCGAATTATTTAAGAATGATGAAGAATCTTTACCTTGAACCTTAAAACAAACAAATTGAAAGTAATTAAATTAAGAATAAAAATTCGAAATTAAATCAAAATTAATATGATTAGATGGAATATGTGGTAGAAATATTTGCTACCACTAGAAAATCTCATTCTTCATTTTTATTTCTAAAATAAAATTTCTTCAAACTTTTACAAGATAATAAGAATTGAAATACATATTCTTTCTTATTGAGTTCTTTCTAATTTATATTAAAAGCATTTATCGATACTTTAATTTCTACTCTCTTACATCGCATATATTTTCCCAGATGTCATCACAACCAGCTTTTTCTTGAAAGCTCAGTGCTAAATCATGTTTATCTCCTTCTGACCAAACGATTAAAGTTTCCTATAAAAGAAAAAAAATTGATAAAATTCAAATAAATTTCTTTAATGATTTATTTTTTTCAAACAACTTGTTGTTTTTGATATTTTGTATTTAATAAAATTTTCGAATCCAATAACGTTGAACCATCTACTTCTGATTTAACAATAAGTGCATGATTTGTATTAGGTGCAATTGGTGTTGTGCATGTTACAAAACCTGTTCCACGATCATCCCATTGACGTTCTTCATTTAATGTATAGAGTTTAACACGTGATCGATTATTAGGTGGTAATGTTGTTGTCGAAGGACTTATCATCGATTATGAGATTGTCCAAATTGATAATTATATATTGTCTAAATATTCAATGAAGTTATCTTTTAAATTTAACTAGAAATATAAAAAAAAAAGTTACTGGCATCTGTCACAAAGTATTTAGAAAGAGAGATAGAGAGAGATAGAAAAAGAACGAGAACGAACAAACAATAATAATAACAACAAGAGTACTATTGCAAATTAACCAATCAAACTAAAATATTTGACCTTTTTTCACATTTTTTCATTGATCTTTTTATTATGAATTTACAATATAGAATTATTGTATCATTTTATAAACATTTCAATAAAATAAAATGTAGTTTAGATATTATTATATAGATGGCGCTATTAATAACAATGACGTTTGACATGCACAAAGGTTACATAGTAGAATAATAAGTTTGTTTTTTATTATTCTATATAATCACAAAGTAGATCAAGGCAATAAGCTATAAACAATATGATTTTATATAGTATCATTGTATAACGAGTGATAGGAAAGTTTTTCGACAAGATGTTGGTTCACTTTTGATTCGTTAGTATTTCTGAAGAGTCGAAAATTATGAGTTAAGGCGTTCTTTTCAAATAAAAGCTCAGAAATTTTCTTTGAGAATAGTGTAATAAACTTGGAAAATCTAAAAAAGAACTTGTTTCAATTGAACTTGTAGACCAACGTTTCCGATGAATATTTTTGAAAGCATTTAAAAAATTATAGGTCACGATCAGAATTTGAATATGGGATTAGAAATGTTGGGGGAATTTTGTGTTCAAAAGTAGTGAAGAACGTTTTAGAAAATTTGAAAAATTATAAGTAATTACGAGTCACTAGGTTTTTGTGTTTGTCTTATAAATCTCTTTTCGAACATGCTGAAATTTGTCGGAGTCGATTATTTTGTAGAGTGGATATTTCTTTACAAAAGTTTATATTGAACTAAGCTGTGGCTTTTCTCGAAGTAATTTTTTCAAGAGCTTCTTTCAACATAAAACACTTATCAATTTTTCAAAGATGATTATTTACAAAAAAAAAACGAAAGTTGATCAGCCTTACCAAAAAACAAATACTTTTAGACTGCAATAGTAAAAATACAAAAAATTTTCGTTCAAAGAAACTTTTTTTTTGGGCTTTTGAGAAATCATTTTACTACTCCCGAACAAAAACTGAGACAGATTTCTTAAGATTACATTTGAAAAGAGCATCCTAACTCATAGTTCTTGACTCTTTGTTTCTAGTGGATCGAAATTGAACAAACATCTTGTGTAAAAATTATTCGATCACCTGTTGTTTCGAGAAGTGATACGAACGAATCAAGCAGATCTTATACAACAGTCTGTAAACTAGGAGAATATCTCGCAGAAGCATTACAATCTTCATAGAACTTTGACTTATTTTGCTGACTAATAAAGATTAATTGATAATATACTTCATTTCAAAAAGATGAAAACTACCGTAATACACATTATGGAGAAGTGAAACCATCAAAATGAGTATTATGGACAGATAGGTCGTCGAGTTTCTTTCTACAATCATTCTTTTATTTCGCTTCTGACATATATCCCGAATAGAGAGGGTTTTATAGTTCAAGTATCATCTTAGAATATTGCTGATAATTTCCGTCATGGAAATGAAGATCGCAAAAAACAGACATGACTGATAATCACGTCGCCGAAATGAAAGGTCACTTAACTTCTGCATCCTTTATTTCGGCAAAATGTATACTGACCGAATATATTTCTGTTATTAAGGGTATTGCGCTCAACTACACCTTCTTACTTTTTCAGGAACTGTAATTAGCTAGTTCCGTCAAATAAATTGTTTCAGCACTTGTGACGTATGATTATCTAACTCTACAAAAACTGTTGAAATCTAATCGGAATTCCTCTTTGATTTTGTTTTCTCTGAATGACAGATTAATCAATATGTGTAATCCAAAAATAGAATAATTGTGCCTGATGATTCGGAAAGATTTGCATAAAAATACGCACATAGATATTCTTAGAAAACAAGACAATATTTATCTGTCGTTTATTCATTGTTACGTAAACACATTTTTTTCAAATTCATTTTTTTAATATTTCCAAGATTTATTCTTCGTATAAAAAAAAATCTAAATGACTTACAAACATTAACTTATCTAAGCTACACAAGAAGTTTAAAAACTAAACTCAAAGCAACATAAACCTTACAACAACATATCGATCACCTTAAAAACAAACCTCATCTTCTTATCAATGAAGTGTACAAAGAGTTGCCGAACTCTTTCAGATTAAATTTCAAATACAATACTGTTTTTCATATTTAAATAAATTACGTACAGCAAGTACAAAAATCTCATCTATCATAACCTTTATGTTTTTCACAGATATAACGGTATCATCCCGCTTTGTCAACAACGTTTTTCTTCTTTTGACAGATCGTAATCTAATAATTAAGCATATAATGAATTTTGATTTAAAAAAAAATGATAGGACATCATAAAACTATGAATCACTAATAGTGTTTTATAGGTGGTGATTCAAACAAACAAAGGTGTGTGTATGATTCTTAATGTGATCATGAGTGCGGTTGTATGTCGTGAAAATCGTGACGGTTTTTATGAGCATAGAAAAAGTCAGTGTAAAACCGTGATTATGGGGCAAGAAATGATTTTTTAACAATCAACGATAAAAAAAATTTAAAGAGTGACTGTAAAGTATTATTTAATTAGAGAAATATTCTTAATCTATAAAATTGAGAGTTAAATATAATCATAAGGATTTGAAACTAAATGAAAATTTTAGGTTCAACATGGATGTTATTACTATGATATTAACGAGTTTGAATAATTTTAGGGACAAATACACTTATCGACCCCCCTCATGTATTGACCTAACTCGACTAATTAGCCTCTGAGGAGTTCATTAAAAGTATTCCCAAGGATCACAGATCAATAGTTTAAGAGACAACGTGTATTTGTCCCGCTTGATACAAGCCTCACAAAGCATCTCAATAGCTGAGGGTGCCACGAAATCCTGAACCACATTTAAAGGGCATCTCCATTGCTGAGGGTGCCATAAAACAATATTTCATGGCACCCTCAGCTATTGAGATGCTTTGTGAGGCTTGTATCAANTGTTTTTTTTAAATAAAAGATTTCAGGTGGTAAAGAGGAAAAAAACGCATTGGCCGTGTATTGAACAAAGACTTTTTCGCAGCATCGAAATCTGGTGGCTCAGAATTTTTGTCGATTTTGAAAACGAAAAGTACAGCTGTAAAAAAGTGGTCCTGAGTAAATTATAGAGATTTTCACACTGCATCTTGTGAAGTATTTTTTTTTTAAATAAAAGATATGAAGTGATCAAAAGATGAATAAATTCATCTTGTGCCGAAAAAAATATCGTTTTCACACGGTCGAAATTTGATCGCTTGAAGTTTTGACGATTTTGAAAACAAAAAGTGCAACTGTAAAAAAAAAGCGGTCTTGTGCAAATTGTAGAGCTTTCCACGCTGCATCTTATAGTATATTATATGAAAAAAAAGTTCTTAGAAGTTTTTCTATTAATATCGATAAGAAAATGTCACGAACTTTTTGCCCTTACCTTAATAAATTTTTCATAGATTAAGTTTGATTTTTGAAAATATGATTTTCTAAAGTGCGCTAAAGAATACCGACAGTTGTCAGTTTTAAGTTTTTTTTCTTGTCAACAGCAGCCTTGAAAACCTGGAAAAAGTCGTAGAGACATAGTCGCATAAAATTCTCTCTATCTATCGATATTTGGTAATTAAACTTTTGACATTTGCTTCGACGAGCAAATACCTTGTGAAAATCTAAAAGCATCTGCAGAGAATAGGAAATTACAGTTGAATGACAGAGTAGACGTGAATCATTCAAGTCTAATTTCAACAAGATAAGATTTGTGTGAAACACAATGTTGTTAATTTTGTATTCTATGAAATTCTTTATCTTTTAGCATATAAAGAAAATTTTTTATATTTAGACACTAAGAGAAAAAGACATCAAGACTGAGTACAATTTATGCTGGTATATGGTGCAAGATAATTATATACGATAAAAATAAATCGTATATTAATAAAAGAAATTACTTATACAAGCATAACTCGTGAAATGTTTTGATTTTAGGATATGTTCAACATTTTTTGTAAGATTCGTATTAGGAAGTTGAAAATAAGAGAGAACGAATTCTTGTATGTCATTTAAATGAAATACAGTTTGTACTTTATTTTTCAAACTCACACTTTGTACCATAAAATAGTAATGCAGATTAGAAAAGAAATTCGTATTTTGCGTAAAAAGATCTGCATTTGAAGAAATATGCGATCTTCAAACAAAGAGTTCGTAATCCGATTTACTAGAAAAAAAAACAAATATTGCATTGTGAATATATTCGATGTTGAAAACGTTTAATCGGCTTGTAATATTAGTTGTTGAAAGCGAAGAAAAATTGTGGCAGATTCTACTTAATCTGGTTCAGATTATTCATGGAGTTCTTTGCTCGTAATAAATAGTCTCAACTTCAATTCGTTACCGATGTGTAAGACAATATTTACTCATACAAAACTCAATATTTCTTCCGAGACATTTTCTAAGTCTATTTGACTAAGAAAATATTCCGAAGACAGCAAAAACTATCACATACTTTCCCAAGAATTATGATACACTGCTCAAATCTATCAATATGATAGAGGGAGTCAGAAAAATGTTTGAGTCTATGAAGCATGAATCTAGACTAGACTTGTGTGTTCCTAAGCCATGTGTCTCCGTCGCCCATTTATATAAGTACGTCAAATTTATAATCATCGATTGAAAAGTACAGAATAAGATTAATTTACTATCAACTTTTTTCCTTGTGTTCAAAAATGAATAAGTACAAGTTCGATATTATTTGTCATCAATCATTAAAGATAATCTCATTATATGTGGGGTTCATTTTGATAGACTTTTTTTCTTATTTTTTCTGAAAACCCATTTAATCCTCTTTCCGAGCAGCAGCAGCAGTATTGA